CATGATCACACAAAAATGGAATCTAATTCCATATTTACCACACAAACAATTACTCTCTAATATTTCCACCTGCCCATAATATTTCCATCTGCCATTTTTCACCACTTAAATTCTCTATTAAAAGGATAACTACTGAATGAACTTTGCTTTCCATAAAGCCAAGTAATGCAATAATTGGTATCCTTACATTTGGTTTTATATTTTGCCTTTTTCAATAACAACAGGAAGGAAACCAAAGCATGAGGTAGAGGGACCATAAACCATTACCAAATTTTTCCCCCCAAAATCTACCATGCTTTATTTTCTGACTCTTGCTTCTACCTGATTGGAGATTAATAATTAGAGTGTTTACATGAAAAAGTGTACTGTCATATATAATCTTTTCTTTGACTATGCTGTGGAATTTTCTATTCTTTTGTAGCAGTAACAAAGACAACCTATTTAAAACTCTGAATTTACAAGCAATTTTATGAACATCTGTTTTTTATATCATAGATTAAAATTTTGAAAGCTCCTTTACAAATTACCATTCTTTTATGAACACTTACATGTTAAGCTTTGACCTCAAGCTATCCATAAGGATATAACCTAAAATTCAAGCTGCCAAAACTTACAATGATTAGCTGATGGCCTTCTCTCTACTCACAACAGATATTTCTACTGCTGGCATTAAAATTATTGATACTTTGACACACTCTCTCCTTAATGAGGGAACAAAACAAATTGTGAATATTTCCTTAGTCATAGGAATTTACTCTTTCCTTTCTGGGTGCAGTGTTGCTCTTTTTTTTCCTTTTGTGCTGGAATTTTCAGGTTTTCATTGCAAAATTAATTGGCATATACAAGCTCTTTTATACATGCAAGTAAAGAATATTTCCATCTTCAGTAGCACTTTCTGTTTTGAAGTCTATTATGCAACAAACAATAAAAAATTTTTAACCAGTGAAGAGTATAAACTCATTTACAATGGGGTACAGGCACTGTTAACATAATTGTTGTGGCTGTTTCAAAGTTCCAGCAGAGAGCTGCTACACTTGAGGGACTGTGATATATTTACATTCTCCCAAAACACGTAGTTCAAGATTTCAGTTATATCAAATTTTAAAAGTTGATATCTGAGCAAAAAATATCATAGCCAGGACTAGATGTATCTCCTGTGACAGCTCAAATTACAGTACTATTATTAAAAACTAGGTTACAATACCTTCCTTTGCTATCATTATGTGCACCCTGCAGAATTTCATTATTTTATAAACAAACTTCTTCTGAGGACAGAGAAAAGCTCTTTATTAATAAAATGATATTAAAGTATTATGTTCCACATTTTAAAAATTGCTTTGCAACTTATTGCCTGCCATTTAGATGGTAAACTAGGAAGGTATCACTAAACAAAGTCATACACCATGTCTAGGATTAGAATGGGGAAAACACAAAGGTCTCTTGGATTACCTTCTCCCATTTCTCCTACATTTTAAATTAACTAAATGTTTTATCTCACAAATATTGAAAGCCAACTTTTGGGTTTCCTACTGAAATGTTGATGATTTGCTTATAGATGAGTTGCATACTCTAGTCTTCAAAGCACAGATTTTCTGCATAATCCATTTTCTGGCTAGTAACAGAAGTAAGAATTAGATAGAAACCTGCTCTTTCAAGAAGCTGTAAGAGGGACCTTACAGCAAAATGTATTTTCCTCAGTTTTTCCATTTAGAGCACCCCACTCAACCTGCTAAAAAAAAAAAGTCTAGAGAGATACAGCATCACCCATGGCAATTGTAATCTTGCTGAGAGTTCTGCTGGATTTCCCTAGCTGATTTCACAGAGTTCTTGGTAGCACTGCAAAGGTTTCCAGGTTCTGAACATCACAGACAGAAAACTTTCAAGATGGTGTGGTTGAAAGTTTTTTTATGGATTTCGTGTTAGCAACTTGACTCCACAGCTGAGAGGTAGCAGAGTTCACTGCTGAACTCAAGGTATCTGAGTCAGAAGTAGCTACACATGATCCAACTAAAATGTCACTGTGTGCATGGCCAGAAGGAATAGCACTTCTCTCCAGGCCTGTGATTTGAACAATAGTTTTCCTTTTCCCACACACGTAAAAAATATTATGTGGGTTCTTAAGTTATGCTGGTGATACATAAATTAGAAAGCATTATTTTTACTTGCACCACAAGTCATGTGAAACAACTTGCAAATCTGAGTGTTTTGAAAGCTTACTCTGAGAATAAATGCACTGAGACACAAGTGCTCTAGGCACTAAATTTTTAGGAAAGTTATGCAGGTCTTTGGGAGGCAATGCACTACAGATGCAACACAAATGAAGATTTAGAACATTTAGAACTAAGCTTTTATTTTGACTGTATAAATACAGGATTTTTTAGCTACGGAGGGTGGTGGACATGTGAGAATTGTCTAACACAATTTCATTCAACCCTAAATATTTTACAGTTAATTAATGATCTGGATTTCAGTATTCACAAATAAGAGAAATGAGTGATGTAATAAATTCTTCTATCTTAATTCCAACACCATAGGCTAATCCACTAAAGACCTTTAGAACTACATAGGAGTGAACAAAAGCTAATTCTACAATGAAAGTAATTAATTTAGCACTTTTACAAAGCTGACAATGATGAGAAATCACTAACAAGGAGTTGCCTGTTAACTGAAATCAATTCCACATCTAGAAACAGAGATGGATTTGAACCACTGAAAACAAGTCAGCAGAAGAAGAGGGATAAATTTTAAATTTCACATGGAGATCCACTTTCATGTTTTGAAGACCACCTCTCTGAAAACATCTTGGTCATTAGAAGAGAGAGAAACACTGTCCTGGGACAGCATACAGCTCTTAACTGTGTTCATTCATATTACAGCAGGACCTCCTAAAACCCCTAGAAAGAAATAAAGCCTGCACAGTGTGTGACTACACTGAAGGCAGGGCACCACACAGGCAGCCAGACAACAGGTATTACTAAACTCACCAGAAGTACATGATTTCCAATCAGACCAAGTATTCTGGTGTTATCTGTAACAGTTTTGTAGGACAAGAGTAATTTCTCCAAGATTTAAAGATCAAGAGCTTTTTGATTGATTGATTGTTGAAATAAGATGATTTTGTCCAAAACACAGGTGATGCTTGAGGTAAAGAAACTCTTGAAGCATAGTGTTTAGGAGGTTTTCTTCAGAGTCCAAATGAAATAGAGGGAAATTACTATTTCTCCAGTACGTTTAGGAATGCATTTTCACATGCAACTAAAAGTACTACGTATAAAACTCAAGTAAAAAGTAGCTAAAACACCATTACAGTACATTTCACTGAATTAGAATTGGAGAAAAGGCCTCTAGATCATTCAGATGATCGAGTCAAGCCTACCACTAAAAGCATCTGCTGATAGGTCATATTTTCTAAACCCTATATAATAATTCTTGTTGTTCTTCAGCAACTTGGTCCAAGTTTCTTTGTAATTGCAAGCTTTTCTATTCCATAAAACAATCATTTCTGAGAAAACAATGCTGTAGGAACATGACATTTTCTTTAGATATAGGAGCAACAGTTACTCTTCATTTTCCATAACTATTTCTGTGACCATAACAAGGTCTAACTGGTAATACATTTCAAATTAGGTTGTATCAGATGACTGGTGCTGGGGCTATTTTTTCATTTATGGAACACTAAGATTATAAATTACTCAAGCTAAAAATCTCGCTATTGTCAAGTAAAAGAAAATAATTACATCTTTCACCTTCTCTAAAACACTTCCATTATCAGAGCCATAAAAAAGTTGCTTTTTTTTCTTTCTTGCAATGGTATCCTGTTGCTGATTCATTTTGTTTGTGATTCAGAACACTTCCCAGAGCTCTTCTTTGCTTTATTATTGCCAGCCCAACTATCCCCACTTCTGTATGCATATGTTTTACTGCTGTCCTAAATATAATACTTCACAGTTGTCTTGTAATTCATCAATCAGTTTGAGACCATTTGTTCAAGACCGTATTTCATCCTGATCCAATCCTCCAAATTGCTGGATGTCTCTGCTGTAAAGATGCTGAGCACAAATATGTGCTGTCTAAATCACTTGAATAGCCATTAGAAAATGTTCTAGACCATGGAAAAGCCCTGTGGGACTGCCTGTTGGACTAAACCACTGCTGAGCATGTTTTTCAACATTATAGTGGTTGTATTTAGATTATTTTACTCCTCTTTTTTAATGCATAGAGTCAGATGGGACACAATTAAAAGCCGGATTAAGCAAAAGATATATCACAGCTACTATTTCATTGTTGCCTATTACCAGATAAAATGATTGATTTGTTTTATTACTGGCAAATACAGCTGAATAATTATCCTCCAGGAATTTTAAAAAAAAGTCTCATCAAATTAACAGTATAAGTTAAATTTTTCCTGTGTGTTAAAGATAAAATGCTTGCATACTGCCAGAAGGGCATGCTTTAAATAAATTAGTTATTTTGTCTTTTTTTTTTCCCCCAGTACATTTATAATCTTTACCATTCTCAAAAATAACTATTTCAAAACATATTATAATTGACTTTCATAATTTGGTAACTGGATCACACCTCTTATCTTTAACCTTTCTCCTCTGCAATTCATCTAGTTTTATTAAACTTGTATTTGCAATCAGAAACAAGAAAAGACAAGGCTAAAGAGGAAAATCCTCTGCATATTAGGGACATAACAAAGGATCCCAACAAACAGTAATACATATGCATCACTATTTTGAGAAAAGGCAAATACATTGAGGCAGAGAACATTTTGAAAGAAGGATGGCTTATTACATTTCAACCTCTACCAAAATCAAAGGAATAAAACTTGGACATTTTTTCTAATAAGTCAGTCAACTGCCTTCACCAGTACCTGACCCTTTTAAATGTTATGTTGAAAATTAGGCCTCAACAGAGGAATATTTGGAGCTTCTTTTTGTTTCTTTTAAAGATACAAAAGATATTTTGGTCAGTAAATACATAAATAAATAAATTACCTTAGCAAACTGTGCATTTATCCATTTTGTGAAAGTTTTCTTTTGAACATCTTCCCGTTCATCTGCCAGAAAAAAAGTAAAGCACTTCATTAGATTTATTCAACAAAATAGTACAATATTACTGATTAATGTTTCAGTCTTGGTTTGTTGTAAAGCTACTGATGATATTTCAAACACCTTCAGGGCACCTTTTTGGATGTATTCTGTCCTTGCCAATTACATCAACATATTTTGAAAGTCTATAGGTCCCCTTCATTCAGACCCTTCGTGGTCTATATCCCTAGTTCCTCTGACCCATCCTGTGGAGTCTTTCCTTCCAAAAGAGAACCCATTGCAGTAGGACCTGAAATATCCCATTCTAAATTTTAATTTAATACAACTATGAAAAAAACCAAACATGTGATCCAATGGTTTCGGCATCAGGACACTCTTCTACAGCACTTTTAGAAAAGTCCTTGAAACAACAACTTTATGTGCACCTTATCAAACTGTTTGAGGAAGCCTTCTGGACCAGCATGACAGTTCTCCATTGGCAGCCATACCTTATGTCTTTTCTGACTTGCAACTATTTACCTGTCAAAAATTGTTATATATTTTCCCTCCAGTGGAGAAAGAAAAAAATACCTACACTTGTTCAGCCATACACAAAATTCTTCCTCAATTCTTTAATATGAAAACTTTGTAGATGGAGATGATTATCTTAGGCCTTGGTTATATATAAGTTACAAGTACAGTCTTGATGCTGAATGGACCTGGACAAACAAAGGTCTAATTCTGATGTATATTACAGAGTTTGGAAAAGAAAGATGCTTTCAAACTAACACTTTTCATAAGCATTTGCTCAAAAAGAACTATTAGGCATCATCCCTGAAATACAAAGAACAGACCTCTTTCTTTGACAAAACAAAACCAACCAAACTAGAATTAAAGGGCATATATGGAAAAGGGTGCAGAATGCTTATACTAAAATAAAGTTCACTCAATGCAGCCTTTTGATTTGCAGTAAAATTCTCCACACTTTTTAAATAAAAAGGGACATTAAATTCCCATCTGAAATGGTCAGCAGTTAATAATGTTAATGGATACAGATGAATTTGAAAGGCAGGTATGGATGAGCTACATGAGAAATGCACAGCATTAATAATGTACTTTGCTTTCCCTCCCTCCACCCTTCCAAGAAGCCACGACAAGACAAATCTATCTTTTTTTTCTTAAAACCTCAACTCAGTTGCACTTTAAAAATATCCTTCCTCAAGAATGTTTTCCCGTCTCAAAGATACAATATACTCATGAACAAAATACTAGAGTTTGCCAAGTTTCTATTTCATTATAAAGAACTACCGTATATGAAGGAGCATATTCTAATTGCGTTCAGATGATCGTGAGTGAAAAGCTTGACAATACAATAGTACAACTGGAAACTTCCCTTAGAAAACATGCATTATAATCATTCTGCCAATAATATGAGTATTTGCTACAATAAACTCTTTAGAGTTCTACTGCTGTTTACACAAAATAATGCTGCTCCCTGCTTCATCCTTTGGCTGAAAGCGGTACTTGAATAGTTAGGAACTCATCTAAAAGCAACAGCATGTGAAGGAGATGCATGCTTTTGGTAATACATGATGCTAAAGCTGTTAAAAAATTTATTTTTTCCCACAAGTAACACCTCCCTCTTTGTTGACTGTTAGTAACTTGTTTATTATATGACTTTTGTCTCATTCCAGCCATGTGCAGTATAAAGAAGGTGAGAGAAGGAGGATGCATTTTGTTGGTGGAAGATACATATTCAATTTGATGTTGCATTATAAACTTCTTCAGCAACTTCATATACAATATTACATATAAATAGCTATTTCTGTTTAATCATCTCTGCTAAAACTGCCAAATGCAACCTTAAAGTAGGGTCGAAGAACAATATGTGGTATTTAGCAGGGAAATGGAAAGAGGCAAAAATGTCTCTTTCAAACTGTTCAGACTTCTGTTTTTCTACCTCAGGCAGCTGTAATAGCATATTTAGTAACAGAGTGGGTTTCTTTGGGTTTTTGTTTGTTTGTTTGTTTTCACAAAGATATATGCAAGTACTTTAACTAGTAGGCACCAATTAATTCCTGTCCACTGAGCTAATAAAAAACTGTGTCCCCTGAGAAAAATGAGAGTCAAACCCACAATTTGAATGTCTGAAACTTCTTCAAAGTTCAGCCGATGCTCTTCTACCTTTGTAAATACAAATCTGTTCCACTGTTGTTATTTTTATACAGAGATCATTGCAAGCACTTTTATCTCTAGATGCTTGCTCTGACAAGTTATAACACAGCAATTTGTTACTGACAGCATCCTAACCTAAAAAAGAATCAATCTTTTGCTTATGCATGGCATGATTTCCCCATTGTAAACATGATTTTTTTTTTTAAAAAAGGATGTTCTCCTAACCCAGATTTATGCATTGAATGCTAGATGTGCACGTTGAATGGCATTTGTCTAGGTGCTGCAGAAATGTGCCAAGAACATTCATCTGCCACTTTCATAATGCTGTGTTTATAAGAGCTCCTTCAGCAGTGAGCCAATGAATGTTCTTGCAGGTGTTTTTATTGTGAGCCAATAAGAATAATCAAATGGCTAGGCAGGTAATTCCTTCACCTGTTCAAGTGTAATAGAGTATGTTTATTTCTTTTCTTTCAATCTGAAAGAATTGCAAAATAGTATACTGTCTCTCTTAGGGTTCAATCTAAAAATGAAACACTGCATGGACTCCCAATTCCTTTATTGCACTAATAATGTGATCTCTTCCCACAGCAGAAATGCTTTTCTCAAAATGATGAAATAATGGACACCGAGTGGATTAAGCTTCTCTCTATAGGTTGTCAACTCAGAAAATTAATGCTCTGAGCTCTATAGAAAGCCTTCCAGAAAACAGAGATACTGACCAGTGAGATTTACCTGATTTTCATACCCTGCAGCCTGTAGTACCACTGAAGAGATCTTAATTAGAACACATTCACAAATGCGACTTACGGTTCTGATATCTGGTAGGATGAACATCCAGATTTGCAACTGTTAATGCGAACCTCTCAGATTAGCTAACTGCACATTTTGCTTTAGAAGTACTATTCCAGGTTAGGCCTCATAAGAAATTATGGCCAGGAAAGAAAGTGCAGTATTTATGAAGCTAATCATCTGATAAAGGACAGTTCTGAGATTTAACCAGGTGGAAAAGGCAATAGAGACAAATGGTACTCTGAAGAATGCTTAGGAACAATCAGGATTCAACAGAACTAAGATGCTATTATTAATGGCAAATGGTCACCTTACAACTTTCCTAAAAACTTAACAGCTCATGTTTGCAGCCTACCACTCCAATGTGATTCCCTTCTATTTTCCACAAGAAACCCCCTAACATTATGTCATCAACTCTTAGTAAACTACACTTATTACTACACTTATTTTCCCAGTTTCCACTCCCGCAAATAACACCAAACATATTAAATAAAAAATGGCATTAGGAAAAAAAAAACTATTTCAAATATCTGCTATGTTTTAGGTACTATTCTGAAAATCTAAAAGAGCATTAACAAGTCATTAAAAAGTAATACTTTCAAACAATTTGAGCTGACAAATACCAAGCAGATTGTAAAATAAACCAAGGTTCAGAAACACACACTATACATGTCACTATATCATTCCATTTGTATGATAAAAGCCACTCTGCCACAGAAAACATATAGCAGGGAGAAGGAAATTTGCACACTTTGGTGCATCCTTCCCTGTTTTTTAGAGGATCTTCATCCTCTCTTACTCCTGACACACCTAAATTAGTATTCCTTTCACAGACTCAGAGAATAGCCAAGGCCATAAGGGACCTCCAGTTCAACCCCCCAGTCAAGGAGGGTCATTTGGAGCAGATGGCCAGGACCATGTATGGTTTTTATTATCTCCAAGGATGGAGATTTGATGGTCTCTCTTCTTACAGATTGCAACACCAAGACTGCATCTTCTGCTTTCCACAGATCTGGGTAGTGGTTTATGACACAAGTGGCTTAGGAAATTCTCCTCTAGAGTAAGTATAGACCATTTTTGAAAATTAGAAGACATTCAAAAAAAGTTTACTGGTACACGAGGGGTACAGGAAATAAGCCATATCCTCAGATTACAAAGTTTAATTTTAAATAAACAACAAAAACCCCATTGTTATTAAGGTGTCAAAAAAGATGTGACATAATGTGTGTAGAGTATTTGAATCACTGCAGAGACAGACAGTGATAGGAGGCTCAGCTGCGTGACAGAAGATTTTATGCAGCCTTCAACAAGCAGTTCCATCACAGGTGGAAATACAAGCAGGAAAGAAGAGGATTTATCTTATTTTGTTACCCAGTGTTGCTCTGAGCTGGGTTAAACAATAATTGAATAGCTATATTTTGTCTCCCAGGAACTATGAGCAAGTAAGAGAAAAAAAATTCCCATATACCGCTGAAAACTTTGAAACAATGATGTTAAGGCAGGTGTCAATCCCCTCATTCGGGGCAACCGCAGGTTCATTGAAACCCTGCACTTCAGAGAATAAAACCATCAAAATTGTTATTTGATTTTCTAGCAGCCAAACAATGCAGATTGAGAAAAGGTCAGGGTTTTCTTCCGTGAGTGGGAGTGAGTACCAGGAATGGTGGGAACACTAGGAACAAAAGAGGCCACAGACAGTCACATTATTGATACTCTGGCTCCATCGACTCACTATTCTTAGAGATTTCCAGCACATTGTTACAATACTCTGCCAGTAACTACAACTGCTGAGAAATGTTCCCTTCCCATTCTTGCTTATCTGAGGGGAAAAAAAGAAATCAATGCAAGAGAATGACTGAATTATATTTGAGTGGACTAGCTTTGATTTTTAGTCATTGAGGTCATCCAAGACATTCACAAGTTGACAGGAAATACAATAGGCTGCTTTGACAGACAGCCAATGAATTTAAGTCTATTGCTCATGTAAGGCAATATGGAACATACAGTTCTTTGTCCATCTTCTTTAAATACACTGATGAGCAGTGTGTTGCCTTAATCTGAATAT